ACATCAAGCCTCTTTGCTCTTGAAGTTGGGTTCTCATTTCACTTAAACTGCCCGACACATGCAGAGCAGATCACTGCTTTCAGTGGTACGTATAAAATGCTGCTGTAAACTGATTGTGACTCCTCTGAATTCTTTCATGTTGTGGTTGCAGAATAGGGATATGTGGGTCCCTATGGAGGTGTGCATTACTTCTGTGTCTGGGACTGTACTTGCATGCTAATAATGGTCATGAAAAGTGCTGAAAACTGGCCACTGTTTTATTCATATGAAACAAAAAAAATAAGCAAACTTTTTTTATCTGTCTTGCTAGAGATCTCAATCTTCACCAGGGAAGCTAAGTAACAAGCAAAATTCTCCCTTTGTGAGTCAAAGAACTGCTGCCAATTGCAATGGTGCTTTTCTCCACAGACATCCACTCATCATGAAAGGGACAAGGCTCCTAAATGAGCACTGACCATTTCACAGATGTTGGGTGGGGTTTCAAAGCCATAATGGGAACTGGGCATCCAAATTCCCTACAGGTTAGTGGGATCTGACTTAGAGTTCCTTAGTCAGCTTTGAAAGACATCTGCAATGTTTAAAAATATCCCTTTCCATCTGACTTCCACCAGTGGCCCAGAAGATACTATCAGTTTCATTGACTTTTGCTCACAGGACTCTCTGCAGAGGGATTGTATAAGAAGCAGAAAAGGTAAACTCTGCCTCCAATCCCTTGACAGCAGAATACATGAGGAATAACAACAGGAAGGAAAAGAAGGTCTCCTTAAAACAAGAAAATAACAGCTTTTGTAATGACTCAAAATCTGTGCTGTGAAACATGACCTTCTCCACACCCATTCATACAACGAGCCTCTTAAAGAGTGAGTAGACTTGTAAGGAATCCTTATGCAAAACTGTCTTAATTCTCCTTGAGAATTAAGCACATGAGCTCTCAGCTGAAGTTCATTGAGTTTTATCCACTGCTGGAATCAAAGGGTCTTTCTTGGGCAGCTGGAGAACTAGGAGAGTTTTCCACATCATGAGATGAGACCTGACATCATCATGACCAAAGGATTCACATCTGCAGGGGCAGGAAGTAGTGACCCCTCAGCTTTGGGCCAGATCAGCATCATATAAAAATATTAAAAATAGAAAAAGTTGAAAGCACTGACTATCACACTTCCTATTAACCAAGTTCTCTCACACCTGAAACTTATATAAAATCCCTGCTAGGCAGGTGTCTGTTTCAGAAACCAAATAAGAACCATGTGGAGGATCTTTGGCTTTGTGATCATGTTTATTTTTTTAGCTTCATATAGGGAGGAGTGACAGTCCACAAATCTCTAATTACTACTACCACTGCTATAGACTGTAGTTGGAGCAAGTTATAGAGAATATGAGCCTTTATATAATACAGAGCATTGGCTATGATGTTGCTATGGTGAAAGACTGAGACCCTAATTTTAGCCAAGAGAATTATATGATGTGAGTCCCTACAACAGCAGGAAGAGAACTGTGATGTTCCAGCTCTATGTGTCAAGTACTTATGAAAACAATTAGCGTTCCAGCATTGCCATTTAGTCAGCTGATTTCTTTCCAACTCTGCATGGCAAAATCTTTCTAATACTCCACATTTTTTCTATGTTGCCTAATATCTCCTGTGTCAAAGAACCACACAAAATGCTGTAGGTTAGATATTCAAGTATTAAAAGCAACATATACAGAAAGGTTCTGATGGCTTGTCTTTCAAAAAGTTCAGATTAAATAACTTCATTGGCATTAACTTGGATTGTCTGTGTGTGCTCATAGGAAGTTTAAAAAAATGCTTTACTTTTAATAAGTTATAGCCATTTCCAGAGGAGGGAGGAAAGCATGGCTCTGGTCATCATGCTTCTGCGCATTGCTTCACTACCAGATCGCTGCAGGTTTGGTATTTTAGTTTAAAGCACAATGAACTAAATAGTCTGAGAATGTATTTTTCTAGCTAAGAATTGTATGTGGGAGCAGACTTGGCCTCTCAGTATCACCAAGGCTAAAGTTTCTTGACCTCTCTTTCAGTCAGTCCACATGTATGCTTTTCTAATTAAATCTCCTGTTGGATTGGAGCAATAATAATAGTGTGGTTCCCCAAAAGAAAGAGGAGTAAAGTCAGGAGGGTGATGAGGTTCACAACCAAAGACTGAATCATGTGTGCTGCTGCAAAGGTTATTTCATATTTCAAAAATGTTTGAGCTTAAGGACCCAGAATGGAAGATATGAGAAGATGAGGAAATGCGGGATTAGAAGAACACAAGGGATCATGAGGCTGCATTTGTCTTCATCAAAATGCACCTTGACAGAAGCAAATTAAACGAGGTATGGAGAGTGAGCAGGACAAGTATAAGGGGAGAAGACGGTGCAGAGAACTGTGGAAGAGTATTTTCATGCTTTTTTGAAGAAGGAAACAAACAGTGGGCTATAGAAAAGAGGCTTCTGGAAAACCTAGAGAGAGGTAGAATGGTCTAAAGAGCTGCATCCAGTGTAATGGGGGGGGGGGTTGGGGCATTCAGTCACTTATGAAATGAAGATGTTTTATGAAAATTTCATACTTCAAAAGTCTTTTTTACCAAACTGACAGTCAAGCTGAGTACCTCAGGAGGGGTGACCTAAAAAGCAAGTCAGACCTGCCTATCTACCAAGCCAACCAGATAGACAAGACTGTAATTAGGAGGATACTAGGCTAAGCTGCTGCTTTCCTAGTTCAAAATTAAAACCTTTTCTCAAATTCCAGAGGCATCTCTGGGCTCAAGGTGGAGCTGAATAGTGAGTGGGGAAAGGTTATATATTTGGCTTTCTCTAACATGAGTCAATACTGAATAGTTTTAAATCTGTCCTTTGTTTACCAGTTACATGGGCAGGAGATTAGTACTGGAGTTGCTGTGTACAACAATTAGTTCTCAAATATATTTAATTTTTTGTATTTTCTGCTTTCTGATGTTGTGATGCAGAAGACAGTGAGTTCACAGTAGTGTGAAAGGATCCCTGATGAACTGAGCATTTCCTGTTGGAGTTTTCAGAGGTGGTTTTTTTTATTTAATGGTTTAGAAGCCAGTTGAGATTAATTACTTTTTGGGAATGACACTGCCAGAATTTTTATACAGGGCAGGGAAAAAAACTATTCCTTTTCCTCTTTTATTTGTAAATATTCACCTATAAAATATAATAATATTAATTAAAAGCATATGCTTATAGTTTACTAGAATTTAAGTGGTTTAGGTACATATTTAACATTCCAGTGATTGTGCAATAGCCTTTTGATGTCTCTTCAGCAGGACATATGGGATATTGGGTTGATTTGTCAAAATTGTTACTCTCATGGCCCAGTTTTTCCCAAAGTGATTGTTTGTAATAATACAGCCTGGCAAATGGCTATACCAAGCCAATTGTCCACAAGCAGCAGCCCATATTAACATCAGTATTTCACAGGGATTTGGCTGATGTTCTGGAAAATTTGATTTTTTTTTTTTTAGGAGTACAGTGCAGAAGCAAAGAACATTAGCTGGGAGGAAACGACTCAGCATCAGGATTGTAAGGTAGGCGGACCAGGGTAGAGGTCAAAGTGACCTAAAATACTTTTAGATTAGTTATAATGCATTTGTTTAATGGATGATGAAGAAGAACTTTTCACATTTATTGAGAATTTTTATATATCTATATAATAAAGAAGATTGACAGGACTATTCGGGTCAAGCCAAGAAGGACTAGGATGCTTCCACTGTGGAAATTATGTGGCTGGAAATATGCACATGACTGTCTCCATATGTGGACACAGGTAAAATCATACCTGTTACTAAAATAAGATGTTTTCTCAGGGTGCATTAAGTTGTAAATAGAATCTATTAGACATAGGTTTCAAGGAGTTGTCTCAAAAGAGGGAAAAGTAAACCCAGTTTTGGCCAAGAAATCATAACTGCTGTATCTATAGTTACTGCAAAGAAAGAATCCTCTGTTGAGATTCACGTTTAAGATCCGGGCTTTTTAAAAAGTTTTTAAATATTTTCATTTTTTTCCATTACCCGTTAGCTAGTTTAAATAAAGTTAATGATGGAAAATTCAGTTTGAGTTCTCCATCTTTACTCTTTTATTTTTAGTCAGTTAACAAGCTTCTTGATTCTTTTTATTTTTATTGAATAAGATGTAAGTATAAGAACTATGAGTGTTACACAGTTTTTCTTCTGTCTTGGTAACATCTTTGGAAACCTGGATACATGGAAGACAGCAGTAAAGACTGCTCATGCACTGGCAAAGGTCCCAAGAAGCAAACAAAACCTTGTGAGTTGTTTTAATAATTATTTCAGCACTGCAAAGAAATTCGTGTCCTACTGAAATCAATGGAAATGTTGTGAAATATCATAAAAGTGTGTGTGATAAACTGGCAACTGAGGATTATGCCAAACAATCCCAGCAATGAATTAACAACCTAATCCAAAATACTTTAACAGCCATTACAGGTATCCTATGATTTTCCCTACACTTCCAAAACTGCTCTGTATCTCACCTTCTCCTTCCGAAAGATAAATGTTCCAAGAACAAGTTCTAAGTTTTAATTAACATATTCTTTCTATTATCTCTGCTGTGTGTTCTGCCTTAACCAAATTGTCTTACACATAATTTCACAAGGATCATGACGTGAATATAACATGTGCATGTGCCTTACTTCATGTGAACACACTCGGTGCATACTCTTGCTTCTCTTCTTACATTGTTCTCTCTTCCCATTTTGAAGTTTTTTAGTTTTCTCCAGAATGCCAAACCAGGCTCCCACTCCTATGAGCAGCTTATGATAGGACGAGTAACAAACAAGGACAAGACAGATGTGACATCTAACAAATCTGAGCCTCATCAACCCAGAGACTCCTAAGTGTTTTAATGTATGTCTTTTTCTGTCTGGTGGTACTACAACATGTTGGCATTTGTGTAGTTGCAAGAAATGAAGTCCAAGCATATTTGTTTTGGTTTTGCAGTTTTTATTGATACTTCATTTTTCAAATTACAGTTTCTTTTGACCTTACACAATAGCTGTAGTGTTTATTTTGTGCCATATTCATCAATTTTCTTGAAAAACTACCTTATTGAGAAGTCTACTTTACTTGTTCAGAAAGTTAACTAAAGGAAGCAGCTTGTTCATTTGGTGTGAGATGGTTGTGTGGATGTACAACATGTGACAAACCCATCAGATAGCACTGTGATTTCCTATCTGCTGTAAGACACTTTATCTCCCAGGGGCTGGCTCTCCAGGGAGGAAAGTCCTTCACTGGGAGTTTCACTAGGGCTGTTTTCACCAGATGATTCTCCATCACTTGCACTTCCTGAAAAGACAATATAATTGAGATAAAAAGAGATGTCATATCCTTGATGAAGCAGGTTGTGAGGTACACAGTTGATCAATGACACTTAGAAGACTTTTATGCAGCTATAAATGTTCAGGAAGATATTTTTCTCAGTTTGCTGTCCATTTGCAAAATGCTTTAGGGAAACAGCAGATCACCTGATGATATTTAAGAATTGTGCCTCCAGCATGCTTTAAATAACTGCCATTGGAATGTATAATAGTTTGCTCTCCACTCATCCAAGACTTTTTTTTTTTTGTATTATCTCCTGATACTTCCCTACTAGGTAGGAAGTGTGGGGAACATTAATTTTTTTGTCTGTCTGGAATATACAAGGCCCCAAGGACTCCACCTCTGATAGGTCTCTTCTTTATTATGTTTTTCCTTCTGTGGTTTTACTCTTCCACCCTATTTCAGTGACACATTTGCCTCAGCTCCACCAAACTGTGTCAAGAAAGTGTACTGAGGGTGCTTATTAAATGTCTCCTAGAGAGAGTGCTCCCATAGCTGCACAGATATCCCCTCATACTAAAGGAATCTGTTCTCTAGCTGAGATTTTGAAAAGCAGGGTGTGAATAGAAAGGATAAAAGATTAATTCTAACCGCAACATTCCTGATTCAGCTTTGATTCAAGTCTGAACTATGAATATTGTTGCTTTTTTCAGACTCTTGTGTGGCTACCCTTGATGTCCCAGAGCTCATGGAAAAGGCTTCAGCTTTGGTACCTGTTTTCTACAGATGGGGTCCAGTCTGGCTAACTTGGACATGTAAAATATGCCCAGATGTCTAAATGTAGGCACAAGAGTTAGGCAGACAAGATTCAACTTTGAGACACTAAAGGTATCTCTTTCTCCCCATTTGTAACATTGCTTACAGAGGCACTTCTTTTAGGAGGACTGGTTCTGTTTAGATACCAGTCAGATGAGTAAGAGATGAAGACTGGATCCAAGTCCACCTGTTTGGGATGCAGTGGGAGGCCCCTTACAAAGGGACTCACTGTTAGGCAGCACAGTCCACCATACTATGCAAAGGGAATTTTAGCATTCAGACATCTGTCTGAATATACATAAACATTCTGGAGCTCCTGTTTTTAACTGAATTGCAAGTTGTTAACACATTCTCTGGAAAAAGCCATTCACAGCTTATTTTTTCCACAATGGCCACTCTTCTTGTTTATCGTTTTGATGTTTCCCATGGAAACCGTCATAATTCAAAATATAAAGCATGTCTTTGAAATGCAACCATGGGAACTCCATTTACTAAATCCAAACCTTTTCAAGCATCATCAGTTTCATAATTCCCCAGGTAGACTGCTCCTCAAAATGCCTACTCTACAAACTGGTCTCAAACAAAAATTCAAGAGATTTATAGTTTATCTGCAATGAAACAAATTCAGACTTCCCTCCATAATTTGTAAAGGCACTGCCAGCAAACACCATGATGAATCAATGCATTTATGACATTAATTTTGTTAAATTATCTCCAATTACATCTACATACATTCCATTTATGTGCCAGGAACAAATTATACATTCCATCAGTAAATATTGTGGTCTGATCACAAAATGAAACACCTACTTCGACTTGGACAGTATTTTACAGAATGGAAAGAAAATTGCAAGTAATAGTTAAGCTAGATATATATACAACAGTTTCTAGATCCAGCAGTGACTAACTTAAAGACATGTAAGATTCTAAATATGAGAAGTTTTTATCCCAGAAACTGCAATTTATGAGTTTAGCGTAAACCACAACAAGGAATACCTCAGTTTTCAGTTGGACTGAGATACTGAGCTTTGAGCCTTCAGTTATCCTTAATTTGACATTTCTAAGTCAAGACATTTCACCTGGCTCTATACAAAGGATCAAGAAAGATTTTTGAAAAGCTAGTTTCTGTTATACTTTATGATCACTGGCTTGTCTAGTTCTTCTCCATTTTATTGAAATATGTTGGGGTTTTTTGCTTACAGATCACAGATGACATATGAAGCTGAAAAAAACTGATTTCAAGGAAAAAAGTGAGATGGACGAAACAGAATTCATCACAATAGGTTGAGACTGCATCAGACTACATTCTGTACATCTTTGACTTACATGTGACAACTGGATTGTTTCGTTATCAGTACCTCTTGCTGACACACTTGTAACTTCCATCTACTTGGCAGGGGGCCACAGATTGCAATCCATAATAATCCAAGAACACTATCATGGACTTTTATATTTATTGAAAGGTGGGAAAGTGTTAGATTGGACCTCAGAGTATCTGACTGACAGCCTGACAGCACTCCAGGAACAGAGGCTGGAGCACTCAGGTAACAACAGAGGTGCAATGCTTCTGTTCTGAAGGGAGGTACAGCAAGTAACCTTGGGTGCAAAGGAGACACATCAACATGATGCACAGGGACGCAACTCCTGCAGAATCCAATTTTTGGGAACAATGCAAGTGATGAACTTGTACTGATGGATTGACACATTTCAGCACAACATCTCAAAAAAAAATTGAGGGTCTTCAACCATCAGCATCTGAATTTTATATTGTCTTTCTAGGGGAACTGATGAACATTACGAATCTTTGTTCCAAGGAGCTGTGCTCAGATTGTTATCAAGAGACCCACAGCATGAATCTCTATAAGATACCATCCCAGGCTGAGGTCTGGAACAGAAATTAGTTTGATGCGATGCCTATTAAAATTGTATGAGAGGTTTCAGTATTCCAAGGCGAGATAAGATTAAAGATGACTATCAAGGCAAGGCAACAAGCCAACACTGCTATGAGATGGAATTTAGCAGAAGTCAGCTGTGTAACTGCATTACCATGGTTCTGGGACCAAGCAAACACTGGCTTAAAGAGCCAGCCGGGTGTACTCAGTTCTGCTTGAAGAATAACATGTTGACATGTACTTTTTAAATCTTTTCTTGACAATCTATACTCCATAAATTTCACACTTTATGGCTTGTTTTCAAAAATTTTACTTAACTTCGTGAACTCTTTCTGTGTGTTTTTCTCTCCCTCTCTATTTTTTTGTTTAACATTCCAGTATTTGGCTTTGGCCACTGACAAGGGCAGGATATTGAGTTAGACAGATCATTGGACCAACTCATACACGAATGTTGTGTTCTTATGCCAGTTTGGATGGTTTTAGACCTTCTCTATGCCAAAACTAATCTGCCCTGGTAGATATTTTTCCACCTTTTGGGGGGATTTTCTGTAAGTGCTGGGAATAGCCTCTGTCCGTGGTGCTTGGTCAACAGTAATGCTCAGTCTGGCATTACACAGATATAATGCTGAGACGTGAAGTCCCAAAAGATCTAGAAGTTATAGCCAGGACTGTTTAAACATCAGAATCAAGCTTTGAAAATTAGCAATATCTCAACCACCAGAAAGCCATTGGAGAGATCAAAATACCGCCTCTGAACTTGAAAGACATTGAGGGACATCAAGAAACTGATGAAAAGACTTTCTGCAAAATCTTGAGTTCACTTTGGAAGGAAGACCATGAGTGAAGATTGGAGCTGTCTCTTCAACAAGAGAATTGATGCCTTGTGTTTGCATCAGAATCACCAAACTAATGGTTCTGAGACATTACAGTTTTGTCTTACACAAATGTCAGCCTCAGCCCATTTGAAGTCTTCTGTCAGCCACAGATACCCTGGGTGGTTTGGTGTCTTGGAAAGTACATTTTGTTCCCAGAATTGCAATGTCCCCAAAAGCAGAGAGGGCTTGAAGATGAAACCTTAGGACATAAAAAACACTTGCAAACTTGCGGGCCTCCAAGAACAATTCAAAACATCTCTGCCTGCCAAAAAGGGATGGTTTTGTTTGCTTTCCTCGAGGCTATCCAAATTTATTTACAAGATACACAGCCACGAAGTGGACTTTATTTACCAGAATAAATTCAGGACAGGCAGCAGATTGAAATCTCTGTGGAGTTGGTTTTACTGTCCTAAGCAGTAAGAAAAAATTGAAGGACTCTCATAGCTCCATTGAAATTTATGGTGACAAAGGAGAAATACAAGGGGCATAATCAGCATAACTATAAAAAAAGTCAGAGAAATTTATCTGTTGTGAAGTCAAAGCATACAGGAACGATAATGACATATAAGTAAAGCCTCAGTTACAACTTTACAGTGGATAGTCATCATTGTGCTCCTCCTAAACCATAGGAATCTCAGCATTCTCATGTTAGGTGTTTCCAGTAGACAAAACAGGCCTGTATACCCAGCCTTCCAATTTAGTCAAAGTCTATATTATAACTGCAAATAGAGAGCAAGCTATTAGAAGATATAGCTTTGTTATATCATCACAGCAGGAAGATTTCTCTAGCTCTAACTCCAGGGCAATTAAACTTTATTACTCACTATCTGCTACAAAATAAATTTGTTTACTGTTGCATCCTTTCACTCTCAGGACAGTCTTAACTATATGCCCCAGACAATGAAAAATGTTTAATTTATGAAAAGTGTTTTTCCACAGTGATAGAGCTACATTCAGAGGAAAACGTTAAGCAGAGAATTTAGGTTTTATTTAATGTCAGAAAATGCTCTTCTCACCTGTGGTTGCTTTCAGCCTTCTGATATAATCAGACCAAAAGGAACAGTCCGCTTTTTTCAATCCTTTAAGTGTTGGTAAAGAAACAGTGAACTCCTTGTAGTTATCACCATCATCACTTGACAGATACATAGGCCAGAGGGGCATCACCCCTGACATCCTTCTTGAGAAACTATGAAAGTAGTTTGGATTTCTAAGGGAGCAGGAGAAATGATCATTAGAAAACAATGACATGAACAGTAAAGTGAGATGAAGATTAGGTAGGTCAGGGAAATGTGTATCCAGTCCCTCTGACCAGCAGGGCTCAAATTCAGTCCACAGTGGTGAATCATTCATGGTAACTTGTTAGTTCCTAAGTTCCTAGTCCTTAGTTCCTAAGGAACAGGTACCTAGAATCTGTATAGACACAGGCTTATGAACACCCTCAACAGCCCTCAATCCCAACCCAACCCAAGATACCATAAAAAGCACATGAAGTCACCCTTCCCCCCATTCCCACACTAGTTTTCTAGAGATACTCCTCATTCTCAAGCATGGTCACAGCACAGTAAAGCTGAAGAATATTCACAGACTGGTTAGTAAAGGCTGCACTGTGTCCCCCCTTTTTTGGGGGGTAAGGGAACTCTTAGGCAAGAGACTTCAGAATGTGGATCCTAGAACAAAGCTCTAGAAACAACAAGAAGGCCTCTGCAGCACCTATGTATTTAAGCAGAATTTGCTGCTGGTCAATGGAGACAAAATGTCTATTCCTTCTAGCTAAGAGTCAAACTACAAATCTTTGGTGTCTGCTCTGCTTGAGGACTTTCCAACAGTTTTGACCAAACCCCTCTATAGGCTTACAAGTTGTTAGAGGAAATGGAGGCTGTTTGAGAGAGGGCAGGATCTGGACTGACTATACTCCATATAGTCTTCATCTCGTCCCCAGTCATAGCAATCTTAAATATCACCCACTTACCCAGAGTTTACAAAATTGGAGATATACTGCATAATTTGCAAGGAAAGACCCTTTTGTTCCAGAGTAAATTGTTCTTCATACTTCGGGTAGAATGGTAGACCAAATGCATACTGAACATCCAGCAAGAGCTCCTGACCTGAGCTAAAGTAAATATTTATGGAAAGATAATCAAAACCATCATTTATTTATTTGGATAAGAAAGGGATATAATATAATAAAGCATAAATAAAGCAAAATGGTATATAATTAATGACCATTAATTAGAGTGTGGAGAGCTGTGGGACTTTTTCAAATCAAAACATAAAAGAAGAGCAAGCAATAACAGGGAGAATTTGCCATTAGGTTAATGCAGGGTCTTTAGCATTTGTTACAAGAGCAAATTGTGGAAGGTATCAGGGCACATTTTCTAAATTAAAGAGAAAGTGATAGAGAGAAAGTCACTTGGCTATTCCTTAAATGTCTCTTAAGTTATGGACAGATTTTCACTAAACTCAGAAAGTGGAAGCAAGTGGTGACATGGATTCTGGCAGCCACGATGGAAGGCTAATTATGGTTTATTTCACAGACTTGGAATAAAATCCTGGCTCTTCTTAGCAGCAATTGGATTTTTTCCATTGACTTCACTGTGGCCAGGATTCTAACCCAAATCTTTGGATAAGAAAAGATGTAATAGGAGATGTTTATGAAGATTTTTCTTAGACACAGTTTTAATCTAATTTCTCTGCTGGCTGGGTGGTTTTGACTCATACACTCTGTTCTCCCCTAGTTTTATATGGCAGCCAAGTCAAAACAACTTGAGATAATCACCTAGATCAGATTTAAGAAAGAACAATTCTTGAGTAGTTCCATGTAATAATTAACACATATTATAAGGAATATTTCAACAATTCAGAGACAAGACTGGCCAGGTAAGACCCAAACACTTGCAGGACCTAACAGTAAAGGTCACACACCTCAACACCTTCAAGTGCCGCAGAAAAACAGTGGCCAATTTCTGCCAATAAAATTATAACTAAACTATGCTCAACACACAGCTTTGAACCACATTTCAGAAGGAGACATTTCTGTTGTGGTCCAATTGCATTTTGCATATCCCACATTTAGACAAAGGTCTTATTGACTTGGTTTAGTGCTGCATGAAGGCAGACAGCATCAGGGGACCTGGGAGAAGGAACAGATGTCTGTGAGGCAAGAACAAACAAATCACAGATCCACTCAGCAAGATTTGATCTGCACTGGCTGCAGTGGCTGATGTCAAAAGGTGTCACAACTGAAACTATTTTGTCTTTGGGCATGAAATGCAGCAGCACTGATATGACCCTGATACTGCCTCCAAAGGAACAAGGAGTGTAGTTCAAACCATTATGGGCAGGTGGGCTGAAAGCAAGATGACTCTTTTACATTTTATAAGTGGTGGCACCAAAATTTCTATTTTGAAAAACAAACACACAACTCTCTAAATGAAATACATCTTTGGTTGTGTTTTCCTTAGTCTTATCATAATACCTCAGTAATACTTTACATCTGGAAAGTGAATTATTCACAGATTATTCACCAAAAAAATGTAGAACTGAAACGAGATTAAAGCATATTTTTCTTCCCCAAATGTTTATAGAAGGATTAAGCAAGATCATAGTTTAATAATTTTGCCTTAAAAATAATTTGCTTGGCCCAGTATACAACAGCAATTTCTAGTGTCAGTATTCCAGCAAAGGTATGATATACTTAAAGGAGCAATTTTCTTTTCAATGAAGAGTTGCTTTTGATTAGATTACAGGACATGAAATTAGTTGAGGTGCAATGAAGAGACAAGTGTACCCATTTAGGGAAGGCATAGCAGAGATGAACTTAGCTGTGAAGCTAAAATAAGTGAGCTGGGACTGAGGTTTTCCCCCCAGTGAGACTGTGTTCTCAGTCCTCATGTTTCTAGAGGTGAAAACTGCTAAGGTCACAGCCCAGACTGAAATTCAGCAGTCTCTTAAATACATAACTTTTTAGGTTTGAAATTATTTGTACAACTCTTTTGGGTTTGATATAAAGATATAAAGTGGTACAAAAGGCTATAACTTCATGGGCTGCTTTCAATATTTCTCGTTGATGTGAAAGAAAACATGAGGATGAGAAAAAAACCCTAAGGTTAAGAGAGGAAAGAGGCACATAAATAAACGCACAGAACAGCAGGAAAGACAACTGGGAAACATAGAGAGGGCAGCTAGATGAGAAATATCAGAGGAATATTTCTGTCTCCTCCCTCAAACTCTGATCATAGAATCACAGAATCAAAGAATGATAGAATGGTTTGGGTTGGAAGGGACCAGAGGGGAGTGCCAAATGGCCAGAAATATCCAAACAAGGACTTTGGAGTCTTGTAGGAGCTCTGAGCGTACTCAAGGTAGCACCAGGTAGAGACACTGTTTTGACTGGAAGAAAAGTGGAGTGAGAGAAAGAGAGGAGTGACAAATAAACATTTACAGCTTTGCTGTTGTGCACTACCAGCTCTGCAGGGAAGTTTTTATTTCCTGAGCTGCTCCAAACTGCACTCCCAGGATACTATACAGGTGCTCAATAGCAGCAACTCTGAACGGGGAAACAAAGGCCCCACAACCAGTGCATTTCAGAGCACAATTTGATAAAAGGAAGGACAGCAAGAAATAAGGGCAAAGGGGGTTTTTAAAGTGTTTTTAAGGAATCCAAACTAATAGCAACTAATTTCTGCTATGGAAGTCCCTTTTCAAGGAACAGATCTGTTATTTTACTAACAGTGGTGAATGCAATTATGTGTAAGGATGAAATCCTGGATTTATTGACTACACAGGACTAGTACTTCATGCAAAGGTATCACTTCAGATCTTCCCTGTATATCTTTGCTTTTTAAAATGTCAATGTTTTTAGAAACAGATTCATAGCTCCTCTTCTTATGTGACAACAAGACAGACCAGTAAATTGAGCCATGGGGAAGTTAAGATCCAGATCCCACCACCTTGTTCACATTAAAATGAGGTCTCTGTGGGGAATTTTCAGTTCACCTCAGAAGGAGGCGCTACTGGAGTTCAGTTATCCAGTTTACAGAAAATCAGATGGCAAAATCTGAAATGATTTAACAGTAGACCCTGAAATATCATTTGCAGGGAATTTTCATTATCCAGTGCCAAGCCATTTAATTGGATAGGTGTAAGTTCTGAGAAATTTTTCCTTGAACCTGAGATGGAGTATCCATTTAAATGTTTCTAATTAAGAAAGACAGAAAGGAATTACTTAGCCATTCAGATACTCCACTGCTCTCTCTGTAGAGCTGTGGCTACTTTCATGTACAAAACAGCTTCAATGGGGAAGAGTAAAAGATGAGTAGATCAGAATTTAGAACAAAAATACCCAGTTAATGGTTAACTTGGTTTAAATTCTTGTTCCAAATCAAAGATAGCATAGATGTAAGCCCCCTCATCCAACAGCTGAAGTTAGCATCTTAATCACAAGCTTTTGGAACAGAAAAAACAAACAAACAAACAACAACAACAAAAACAAACCAAACCAAAAAAAACCAAAAGAAAACAAAGCAACAACAACAACAAAACTACCCAAAAAAACCCCAACTGAGCCCCCTAACTCAGAACTCCTCAAAAATTTTGTTTGCAAAATGAAATTGCCGTTACTGGCTATCCATAATCATGGCAGTCAGAATAGAAGAACATGACCTGGCAGACCACCATGCTATTCTGTGCTAGGACTGAATGCACAACTTGAAGCTGGGGCTGCAGGGACCTCACAGTGTGTTCTGTGGTAAATTAGGGCATATATCTCATTTTGAACTTTGTCCTTGCTCTAGGTCTGGCTAATTAGTTCATACTGGAAGCTCATCCTGATGATTAATGACTGACTCTGGCCTAATATTTCTCTTTTTTTTCCCTTTCCTTTAAAAATAGTCCTTACTTTCCTTTTCAACTAGTTTCAACTAATCTCAAACCCTTTTGAGTCATAGCTTCTATTCTTAGTTGTCTTAATGTAGTCTTTGGTTCTTTTTTAAAACTACACACACATGTAGAAGCCAATGTAAATTATCTCAAAATTCAAATGATATCTTATACGATACCAAAATACCAAACTTCCCACTGCTATTCAGTCATTTAAATTTTAAAATAACAAGACAACCATAACAAGCCAGAGTTCAGCCAGAGTTACCAGAGATCGTCTGAGAAATTGAGAAGAAATATTGTACTCAAACTCATGTCAGTCACTGACCTAAGCAGATATTGGCAATCGGTGACAGATTGGGGAGGTAAGAAAACCATTTATCCTTTAATGTAAACCTTTTTGAAAATAACTGCTCATTTTAACAGTTCTGGGAAAGATTTAGTGTTAGAGATGGGATCTCAGCTTTGAGTTCCTAGTCTCGCAATCAAGGCCCTGTTCAGTATCCCATTGGCAAGAGTAGGACTATCATCATAAAACCCAAAAAAATAGCTCTCCACTGTCACTTGGCTTTGGTGAGAACAGGTTATTATTTAAATTCTGATTGAGTTGAGCACCACAGGTGAAACTCAGACTCATAGAGTTGGTGATAAATCTCCTGCTGATTTGAACCAACATAGGATTTCATAAAAACCTCATCCCCAGAGAAGAGGATATCATTTATATATAATATGCCACTGCTTTCATGCTCTTGTGGCCCCATTCTGTGTTTATTTTTAAGAAATGGATTTTAATTTTTTTTTTTGCAAGAATTATTGGAAATATTTAATGTGCTTTTTGCACCCATCTGCATTATCTTCATATTAATATCAGCAGATTTACAAAGTATATTTGCAGATCTAGTATCCCAAACTGTGAACAGACACCATTTCATCCATGTCATGGGAGAGGAGCAGCTTACCAACACTGCACTTCACCTGAAATGAAGTGTTCATTTTGATGCTAAGCAAAATAATTTTAAAAAATTGCATATAGCCACACATCTTGTAAAAGGAAATGGCATGTGATTGTAGGGAGAAAAAAATAATCAAAGGATAGCTGGATATTTATAGAAATTTAATGGGCCAGTGTAAGGCCTGGTGTGACCTCTGCAGTTCTAGGGATGCATTTGGCTCATTGCGTCTCCTCTCATTACAAACTCCTGCCAGACAAATGGGGTAAAGGATGTGAAAAAC